GCCGGCCGATGCCATGGACCAGACTGTGCTGCAGCGAGCTTCACCGGTGCATTCCGGTGTTCCTCCCTGTAGGACAGCCTGGGGCGCCCGCGAGCAGCACAAGACTGCCAACATGGTTCGTCAATGGACAGAAAGATGTGGTAATTCTGCAGCCTGTCTACTCTCTGGGTGAGTGGCAATACAGCCGTAGTTTCGCTACGATCCTCGCCGGTACGTACTGCAACGCACTGCGGGTCCTTCAGGGACGATGACATCCCGAAATGTCCTGAACAGTTCTGTAGTTTGTATTCCTTGCGAACCTGCTTTTCGAACGCTACACTGCCTACGACAGCACATGTATGGTGGCACTAGCAAAGACAGTTTTGCAGATACAAGCGTTTTTTGCATGTTGCTCAGCTTTGCGAATACTGCCAAGAAAGTCGTTGACTGAGACCAATACAATGGATGGCTGCATTTTCCCCTATGAAACTAGGGGCGTGCCCCCCCTTTTTTTGTTTGTCGGCGATGGCATGTTTGGAAGCCTATCCCTGGCCTACAATGCTTCCCCTTTGTCATCACTGGCCCCCCCTTTAAGGGGGGATCTGATTTCATTACACCATGGATTCGAGATCGCGGCTGACAGTCAAGAGGATGACTATTATGTCCATGAAGGCCCATGACGAGTTGATCTGAGAGGACTCTGAGAGAGATTTCATCGTAGCCCTGCTTTCGTGTACAGCTTGGCTCATGCTAGGGTTAACTCCCGAGCTATGGTCTTCATGTCTGCCTGGACAGCTGTGATCCATAATTCATTTTGCATGTTTTTGATAGTGATGCAGTGGATATGCCACTGCGTCCAATGGTAAATCGATTCGGTGGGTGTTTTTGTTTGGGCTCTGGCCCCGTTTTTTGGGTTTTGTTGTGTTTTCTGCTGTTTGCTTCGCTGTTTCCGCTGGCGAAACGCAAGTCTGGCTGGGGGATTTGCGGGTCGTCGTTTTTTGTTTGGTTGTGGTTTTCGGTTTTGTTGCTTCAATCGATTTGCCGACTCCAAGGACCCTTTGTCCTTGTACAGTGTATTTTCTGCTTACTCTCATGTAAGGACCGAGCCATTAGCGCGACATCGGCCACACTCGAGGAAAAAAAAAGACCGGAAGGGCAACTAGGGAGGCCCTTTTGAGCGAAGCCGGTTTTGAGAAGCTTTTCCGGACCCAGAATTGGGTCTGTCGGAGCAAGCTGTTTTGTAGATGATTTTGTTTCTTGTTGGGGCAAGCGGGGTGCATATCGGTTGCTGCTTGAACCCAGTTGAAGGTAGCTTTTTATGATTTCGTTTCGTCTGGTGGCTTGATCGGAGTTTGTAGGTTTTCGCACAGGCGGTCGGCTTCCATTTGAATGATTGTATTGAATACTTTACTGCCCCTTGTTTGCCCCCCTTGCCCCTCTAGACTCCTACCGAAGTTTTCAGCCCAGAAAGAACATGAATCATGAATTATGATTTTTTCAGTCAATCCCGTTATTAATTAATAGTCCTACCGAAGTTTTCAGCCCAGAAAGAACATGAATCATGAATTATGATTTTTTCAGTCAATCCCGTTATTAATTAATAGTCCTACCGAAGTTTTCAGCCCAGAAAGAACATGAATCATGAATTATGATTTTTTCAGTCAATCCCGTTATTAATTAATAGTCCTACCGAAGTTTTCAGCCCAGAAAGAACATGAATCATGAATTATGATTTTTTCAGTCAATCCCGTTATTAATTAATAGTCCTACCGAAGTTTTCAGCCCAGAAAGAACATGAATCATGAATTATGATTTTTTCAGTCAATCCCGTTATTAATTAATAGTCCTACCGAAGTTTTCAGCCCAGAAAGAACATGAATCATGAATTATGATTTTTTCAGTCAATCCCGTTATTAATTAATAGTCCTACCGAAGTTTTCAGCCCAGAAAGAAGAATCATGAATTATGATTTTTCAGTCATCCCGTTATTAATTAATAGTCCTACCGAAGTTTTCAGCCCAGAAAGAACATGAATCATGAATTATGATTTTTTCAGTCAATCCCGTTATTAATTAATAGTCCTACGAAGTTTTCAGCCCAGAAAGAACATGAATCATGAATTATGATTTTTTCAGTCAATCCCGTTATTAATTAATAGTCCTACCGAAGTTTTCAGCCCAGAAAGAACATGAATCATGAATTATGATTTTTTCAGTCAATCCCGTTACCGAAGTTTCAGCCCAGAAGAACAGGAATCATGATTATTGATTTTTCAGTCAATCCCGTTATTAATTAATAGTCCGAAGTTTTCAGCCCAGAAAGAACATGAATCATGAATTATGATTTTTTCAGTCAATCCCGTTATTAATTAATAGTCCTACCGAAGTTTTCAGCCCAGAAAGAACATGAATCATGAATTATGATTTTTTCAGTCAATCCCGTTATTAATTAATAGTCTACCGAAGTTTTCAGCCCAGAAAGAACATGAATCATGAATTATGATTTTTTCAGTCAATCCCGTTATTAATTAATAGTCCTACCGAAGTTTTCAGCCCAGAAAGAACATGAATCATGAATTATGATTTTTTCAGTCAATCCCGTTATTAATTAATAGTCCTACCGAAGTTTTCAGCCCAGAAAGAACATGAATCATGAATTATGATTTTTTCAGTCAATCCCGTTATTAATTAATAGTCCTACCGAAGTTTTCAGCCCAGAAAGAACATGAATCATGAATTATGATTTTTTCAGTCAATCCCGTTATTAATTAATAGTCCTACCGAAGTTTTCAGCCCAGAAAGAACATGAATCATGAATTATGATTTTTTCAGTCAATCCCGTTATTAATTAATAGTCCTACCGAAGTTTTCAGCCCAGAAAGAACATGAATCATGAATTATGATTTTTTCAGTCAATCCCGTTATTAATTAATAGTCCTACCGAAGTTTTCAGCCCAGAAAGAACATGAATCATGAATTATGATTTTTTCAGTCAATCCCGTTATTAATTAATAGTCTTACCGAAGTTTTCAGCCCAGAAAGAACATGAATCATGAATTATGATTTTTTCAGTCAATCCCGTTATTAATTAATAGTCCTACCGAAGTTTTCAGCCCAGAAAGAACATGAATCATGAATTATGATTTTTTCAGTCAATCCCGTTATTAATTAATAGTCCTACCGAAGTTTTCAGCCCAGAAAGAACATGAATCATGAATTATGATTTTTACCCGAAGTTTTCAGCCCAGAAAGAACATGAATCATGAATTATGATTTTTTCAGTCAATCCCGTTATTAATTAATAGTATTAATTTAAAACGGGATGGAGTAAGAATCTGCTTAGGGAAAGATGTGGAAAGGTGAAGTATTGAAGGCTTTCTTACTCCGCCATCGTTTCGATATCGTGTCAATTACATTGGGTAATTGAATTAAAACATACCACGGAGTAGCGGAGTAGCGCGGAGTAGCGACGGATTGGTGAATGTTGCCTGGGTGGTGCTGCATTGCAATCGCCGCATTGGAGCTAGGGAACGGAGACAGCTGATACCTGATACCACATGTGTGCTTACAGGTTCCATTTCTGGGGCCGGAAAGTCAATTGAAATCAGGCTTCGCATGTGCGGGCCTCCTGTGTAGAAAGGGGGGACTTGTCTAGCGATGTAAACGGAGTATCAAGTCCCCAGTCCAAGACTGCAGCTGTGTCAGATGGGACGAGCGCAGGTCCATGAAACTGTATCTGTCTGGCCTTCAGGGTATGCTTTATGTCAGCTTGCTGATATTTGTTTATAGTCTAATGGACAGCGATGAAAGAGCGTCTCTTCAAAAAAAAATGTTTTGAACGTCAAACCGTTCTTTGTGCATGTTGCGCAAGTGATGGATGTTGTCATTTTACATGTATCATTTGTGCATGTTTCAATATATGTTGCAATGAACATGTTTGGTATGTACATGGTGCATTACATGTTGTGATGTCAAAAAAAAACTTTGAAATGTCGATTGAATATTTGCAGCGTGCAACACTTATTATCAAGAAAGAGGTGGGTGGGCGGGAGCTCACAAAATTGTGGGTGTATAGTTTAGTTTTATGAGAGCCCGCTTTCGCGCTGTGCCCAGTGCTGTGAAGGGCCGTGAGGCCTTGATTGAGTCCAATTCAGGACATCGCTGCTCTGTGAGTTATTCAATTTTGTGCTGGGGCTGCGTGTGTTTTTGCACTGGATTCATAGCTTGTTTTGCGTGGCTTTTATATGGAACCCTCATTTGATCGTGCCATTCTGCTTCATCAGTGGCATTCTGTGCAAGTGAACTCCGCTGCAGACCTTCTTCGGTGGGAAGCCTGGTCATTTAACCAAACCATTCCAACCATTTGTTGGCAGTTGGGCAGCCTTGAGTCTAATCTGGTGGTATACGAATTTTTGGATTTGCAATCAACCTTGTGTTTACGTGCTGCTTGTTTTGGGTGGGCCATTGAATTGTACGACAATCTGGAAGAGCATCAGGTTTTGTGCATTGCTCGTGCCAGGGGCATCTCAACTGCCACCTACTACAGCACGTTGGTAGCAGATCCACCTGTTCAGATTTGACATGGCTGCGTCAGGTTCTGGTCATCTAAAGCGGACTGGGGGTTTTGACACAGACTCATCCACAGTGAGCAAGTTTTGTTATGAGCAACATCTCAGGCACGTTTGGACAACAAATCATGCATCGACTTTTAAGATGCCATGGGAGCTTAGCTTGAACACACCCTGGGATGCTTGTAAGAAACTACGTACAAGCGGTTTTGACCTGCATGGACCTCTGCCGCCTGTTCCAGTCAGTGCGAATGTCTGCAACTCAGATGAAGGTGCTGATGAAATTTTGTCTTTCAAACAAATTGGAGTCAAAGCCGTAAAGAATGCTGATTCACGTTTGTGGGCAGACAAGCTCTCTTGGGAGCGCAAATGTGCGTATAAGAAGTGGGTTGGCATCATTTTGAGGCAGGTCAGCGCTTTTGACATTGCAAGGCAACAGGTCACTTGCCACACCATGGAGTTTGCCAGAGGTGGTTTGCTGGAGTCTGTGAAGGACTCTTTGGGAACGAAGGCTTCAGCCACACTGCACTCAAGGGCTGGACCTATTTTGCAATACATACAGTTTTGTGAGGACCGTGGCATTCAAGCATTTCCACTGGTTGAACCCATTGTGTATGACTATGTGAAGTCATGTGAATCGAAGGCTGCAACATATGCTAGATCATTCTTGCTGGCGTTGAGTTTTACCAATTTCCATTTTGGGCTCACTGGGACCGTGAGCATCATGAGTTCAGGGCGTATCAAAGGACTGGTCAATACGATGTATGCAAAGAAGAGGAAGTTAATGCAACGTCCTCCTCTTACTGTCAGTCAAATCGCCCACCTAGAGGACATTGTGGTCAACAGCCACAAGACTGAGTACGACCGTGTAGCGGCTGGGTTCTTTCTCTTCGTTTTGATGGGGAGGCTTCGTTTCAGCGATGGTCAACAGGTTTGCCAGTTACAGCTTGATCAACAACCGGATGGTTTTGGGTTTGTAGAGGCGGTTGCAGCCAAAACCAAGACGTCAGTGTCGTTGGAGAGAAAGACACGGCATCTACCAGTAGCTGTGCCGCTGATCCCATTCGGAGATCAACAGTGGCTGCCAACTTGGCTGGAACTGAGAAAGAAAATTTTTGGAAATTTGGCCAACAGCAAGGATGATTTCATTCCTCTCCTTCCTGCTCCTGCTGCAAATGGTTCCTGGTCCAAGATGCCCTTATCTGTGACCTCAGGCGCCAATTGGTTGAGGAGTTTGCTCCATGACACTTTGGATCCTCGTGGAACGCCCGTGGGCACACACAGTTTGAAAGCAAGCTTGCTTTCCATGGCGGCGAAGTACGGGTTGCCTCACTCTCAGCGCAAGTTGCTGGGATACCATGCTGGCAGCAAAGAGCAGAGCATGCTGTGCTACTCCAGGGATAGCATGGCAGAACCCCTTCGTCAAATGTGTGAGATGATACGGGCTGTGAAGAACAAAGCTTTCTTACCAGACTGTTCACGTTCAGGCCGTTTTCCTTTGAAAGAACTTGGTGAGGAGGTCATCGAAGGGGATGAATTGAGTGATTCATCTTCCTCCGGTTCGGAGAATGAGGAGGAGACCCATCACGAAAGTGAGGAGAGTGCTTGTGAGAAGCTCTTGGGCCAATGGCAGCCCGCCACTGTCGAGCCGATGGAAGAAAAGGTCTTTGTGAGGCACCGCATTTCCAGGTGCATCCATGCATTGGCTGATGAGACAGGACTGGAGTTTGTATGTGGCAGGCGAATGTCACAGTCATACGACGTGTTGGAGCCCAAGCCTTCCTTTTGTCACCCTGTGTGCCAAACATGTTTCAGAGACAGGGCCACCTGAGCCTTCCGAGATCGCGGTGAAGGAAAAAGGCAGGAGGTGTTCCTGCATGAGATGTTGAAAGTGGCACTGCAAGTTGCGGTGTCAAAGTGTGAACACAGCATGATGTGCGTTCGACAAGTTGTTGAGCGGTGTGTAGAAAGTGGACTCAATGTTTGAGCGCCGAAAAATTTCAGAGCTGTGCTCAAACTTTTCATGGAACACATGTTGAAACCAGAGAAGTGAACAGTTGGTTTGCATGATTTTATTTAGCAGTTTGTTCAAAGCGTCCAGAACCTTTTTCATGACAGATTGTGTTTACATGTTGGGCGAGTTTGCACGAGTTCATGGGCCTGAAATACATAACCTACTTCTAGGGTTTTCATCCTGCCTCCTCGGAACCATGAGCTACGGTGACAGCAAGGCAGTTTTCAGAAGGAGATGCGAAGAGATTGGTTTTACTGCAGAAGTTGTCGAGTTGATTGTCAACCATGGACTGGACACCATGGCAAAGTTTGCATTTTCTTGCAATTTTTCACCTGGGAGTTCAGACGAGTCGCCCCTCATCCAGCTGTCTAAGGAGATATTTAAGCGGGCGCCTTCAACTGTTGAGATGTCATGTGTCAGACGCTTGTTTAGTGAAAGTTACGCAAACATAGCAGCAGATATCAAGAATTCAGTTGAGGCGACAGATGACATGCCCACAAGGAAACTTGCTCCAGCTGAGAGGGCAGAACGGTTGCGTGTTCAACAACGACAACTGGCAGGCATCAACATTTCTGGACCTTATGAACCAGGAGATGCGTTGGTGGATCGTTGCATCGCAATTTATGATGCTGACAGGATTCAATTCATTCCTTGGGACATTTGTACGAGTCGCGAACATGAAATATTGCATGGATCAAAACGTGACCAAACCTTGACGTTTGACTCGACAGGTGCCCTCAAGTTACACAAGCAGGCACGCGTTGAGCCGTGCAGCACTGCCTCTGAGATTCAGGTGCGATATTGCCTAACCAGGCGTGCTTTGGCGATGGAACAAGCCAACATTGTCAGTTTCCAAAACATGGAAGCATGGTCTGAAAAGATGATGCAAGCAAGGCTTGAGGAACCACCGGCTAATTACGTGAAAACTTCAATGAAACAGCTTGAATCTGCAGATCGAAAATTGTTTCTCCTGATCAGCGAGAAGACCCGAGAAGGCATCAAGTGCAATGCTCAAGGCCGTCCCATTGACGCCGTCTTCAAGCAGTGCATGGAGAGCTCAGAGGTGTTGTCATTGCTGCAACCGAGACCTGGAGGAGGCGGGCCAACAACCAGGCCATCAGAGGGCCCTGCGGCAGGTGAACCGCCTGCCAAAAGAATCAAAGGCGGGGGAAAGGCCCGAGGAAAGAGTTTCAGTAAATTTCAGGGCACAACAGATTCATTTGTCCGCATCCCGAAAGAGCTGCTGTCGCTTGGATCAGTGGCTGCAACTCCAAAAGGACATCGGCTGTGTTTCTCATACAACTTGAAATCTTGCAGCAATCCAGTTGATAAGCAAAGATGTTCAAAGGGTCTTCATGCATGTGCGGTGAAGGGATGCCATGGACAACACCCAGCGGTTGAGTGCACACGTGCCAAGCGGGAGTGACTACACCCCCCAAATGAGCATGCTGAACAGGACTCAGATAGCCCTGTGAATTCAAATTTTCCGACAGTCTCCGAGCAGTCAGCACCGGATCCTCCCCAAGGTCAAAGCCGTGAACGGAGCGAAGTTTTTGCTGGCTTAATGGATTCTTTACAGGTCCCGAAGGGGACGTCTGTGCCTTTCTTTGTTGAATTATGTGCAGGCAGCGCCAAGTTGTCAGACGCTGTCAAACAACATGGATACCATATCATTGCCGTTGATCATGACAAGAATCGCCACGCCCCACGCTGCAAGATCATACAACTGGATTTGTCACATGAACATGCGTGGGACATGCTTGACTTTTTGCTGGAGAGAGTAACAATTTCGGGCGTCCGCATAGCGCCACCTTGTGGCACATGTTCCAAAGCCAGAGGCATCCCCATGAAGGATGGAACAAAGGGACCTCAGCCACTTAGATCGGCTGATTTTCCGTTGGGACTTCCACATTTGTCTCAACGTGACCAACAGAGAGTTTTTCTGGCAAATCAAATTTACAAATTTTGTGGATTGTACGTGCAGAAGTTGCATCAAGCTGGGATTCCATGGACGATAGAAAATCCAACAAATTCACTGATGTGGGATTTGGAATTTTTCACATGGGCCGTGGCCAATGGTATTTTTGTCAACATGCACGCATGCGCCTATGGCTCAGCGAGGAAAAAGCTCACATCATTTCTCTGCAGTCACCGTGAATTTGCCGCCTTAGAGTTGTATTGCGATGGTCAACATGAACACCTTCCATGGGGCATTGCAGAGGATGGAGCTTTTAGCACTTCGCATGAAGCCGAGTATCCCAAAGCTTTATGTGTCAGATATGCCGAAATTTTTCATGAACTGTGCCGTGCCCGCGGCATTGTGCCAGTACAGCAGGCAAGCGACGAAGTGCAAAAGCTGGCTCCCAATCAACAGCCCAAAGGTCGCAAGCTGCCGCAGTTGATACCCGAGTTTTCTTTTACAAAAACAATGCAAGTGGACAAGCTGCCCCAGGTTGACCACAAAGGTTGCTTACTTCATCACATGCAAGGAGTTCCTGCCGGCAGCAAACTGTTGAGAACTGAAGCGAAAAGGGGATCAACTCTTTGTGTTTTTGGTGTGTACCGTTCTCTTGCTGAATTTACACATGTTGCAAAACAGTTATGGCATCCATATGATGAGCTGAAGAACTTGCCCGGAGATTTAATACGAGTTCTTTTCCAACACTTGAGTCAAGCACCAGACGTAGTGACACGAAGTCGCATCAAGATTTTGTCTGAATGGGCGAGTCGTGCGAAAGCCCTGAATGCTTTGGAAGAACAGTTGAAGCTTGACATGGATGCCGACGTTGCAAAAATCATGGCGCCCAAGCGCGTTCTCCTCATGCGATCCATTGCAATGGACATGAGCTGGCCAGACATGGGGCTCTTTGACGAGTTCACTGAAGGTTTCAAAATAGTAGGCCCTGTGTCTGAATCCGGAGTTTTCAAGCCTGGTGTCACTTTGGCTCAGATGTCCCCCCAGCAGTTAAGGGACAAAACAAAGTTTTTGAAGCCCATGATACTTGGGAGAGCCAAGCTTGGAGATGGGAACGAGCTGCAACAGCAACTGTACGATACAACTGTTGAGGAGACCCAGAATAAGAACTGGCTTGAAGGCCCATTCTCCCCCGAGGAGATCGAATCTAAGCTGGGAAGGGAGTGGTTGCCTGTAAGGCGCTTTGCAGTGCTGCAGCGTGAGAAGCTGCGGCCCATCGACGATTTCAAGGAGAATCAGGTGAATCAGACATTTGCAAGCACGGAAAAGTTGGAGTTAAGGACAATGGACCATACGCTGTGGTCCCTCTTCACCATTCTGAAATTTCTTCTTTTCGATGGGCGGCTTGACTTCACCCTGGAATCAGGGGAACGCTTGACTGGAGAAGTGCACCATGCATGGAAAGGTGTGGAGCCGAACTTCAAGGCATCTTGCATTGACTTAAAGTCTGCGTACAAACAATTCCCTTTGCATGAGGAAAATCACAAGGACGCAGTGGTGACACTGTGGAACCCTCCCAAGAGGAGGGTAGACTGCTTCATCATGAAGGTGCTGCCGTTTGGAGCCACAGCCAGTGTACATCATTTTCTTAGAGTCAGCGCTTTCCTGCAGGCAATTGGAAGATTCATGGGTTTGATTTGGTCGGCATTTTTCGACGACTTTGTCGTGCTCAGCCATGCAATGCACGAGGCCAGCACCATGACATCGGCCTTGACTCTTCTTGACTTGTTGGGTTTTCAGTATAGCAAGGACAAGCTGCAGCCCTTCAGTGACAAAACAGAGATGCTGGGAGTGGAGCTCAATTTGGTTGATGGGAAGAACGGCATTGTCGAAGTCAGGAACAAGGCTTCACGAGCGAATGAGCTGTGCGATGTTTTGGATCGAATCCTGCAGTCTAAGAAAGTGGTAGTCAAGGAACTTCCATCAACCTTGGGCAAGCTTCAATTTGCGGAAGGTCAACTATGGGGAAGAACTGGACGGCTGGCGTTGTCCGAACTAAGGAGGCATGAGAAGTCGGGGTGCGCTGAAGCATTGCTGGATCAGCGTAGCATCGACGCTGCACACATGTTGTTTGAGAAGATGAAAAACGGAAAGCCTCGGACAATTCGCATCACTCCGAGATCAAAACCTTTCTTGCTTTTCACTGATGGGGCGTTGGAATACGAATCTTCTGGAAAACCAACAGCTGGCATAGGAGCCGTACTGTTGTGTCCTGATGGGAGACAACTTGTGTTTGGAACCAAGGTTGAAGACGAAACACTGAAGCGGTGGCAGGTTGATGGAAAATCTCATGTGGTTGGTTTGGTAGAACTTTATGCAGCGGTCACCGCTTTCAATACCTGGGCTGACATTCTGCAAGACCAGCGTTTGATTTGCTTCACCGACAGTTGGCCGGTGCTTGATGCTTTGGTGAAAGGAAATTCTCCCGTTGATGAATGGCGGGACCTTCTTTTGATTTTTGAAAATTTGGATGAACGAATCAATTCAATGTTGTGGATGGCTCGAGTTGCGTCCAAGTCTAATCCTGCGGATGCCCCAAGCAGGTTTTCTTTGAGAGAATTGAGTTTTCTTGAGAGACTGCAGATTTCAGAAGCAGTATGTCCAATCAAAGGTGTCAAGCTGAAATCCTACGTGGCATGTAGCTGAAGCGGAAAGGGGAATGGTCCAAAGTTTGGATCGATGTGCAATGATGGGGTGTCCATCCTTTTTGTTTTGCATATGACAAAAGAAAGTCAAACGTGTGAATGCGTGAACATGAAATATGTTCAACAGATTTCCCCATTCTGCTTTGCGAGAAAAAGTCCGAGTGAGCCACCTGCATTCAGTCAAAAAAAAACAGTGTGAACACTCGTGCATCTTGGCGATCTCACTCGTTGCGGCGTATGAAATGTTTGAACATATTGATATGTATATATGTTATTATATGTTTAGATATATATACGTGATGTATATATAATGAGCTTTTATGTTTTACGTTTGTGTCTTTGGCGTATATGCGTACATGACTTACTCATATACGTTCACCTCGAAAGGTCAGGTGCAAACCCTTTTATGTTTAGGATTTTAATTTGAAGAGATCCATGTATGACTATAAGCTTTATGTCAGCTTGCTGATATTTGTTTATAGTCTAATGGACAGCGATGAAAGAGCGTCTCTTCAAAAAAAAAAGTTTTGAACGTCAAACCGTTCTTTGTGCATGTTGCGCAAGTGATGGATGTTGTCATTTTACATGTATCATTTGTGCATGTTTCAATATATGTTGCAATGAACATGTTTGGTATGTACATGGTGCATTACATGTTGTGATGTCAAAAAAAACCTTGAAATGTCGATTGAATATTTGCAGCGTGCAACACTTATTATCAAGAAAGAGGTGGGTGGGCGGGAGCTCACAAAATTGTGGGTGTATAGTTTAGTTTTACCCTCCCAACTTCGTTTCCCACCCAATGTTTTCTTCCCCAATTTTGTTCGGGGGGGGGAATGGTCCAAAGTTTGGATCGATGTGCAATGATGGGGTGTCCATCCTTTTTGTTTTGCATATGACAAAAGAAAGTCAAACGTGTGAATGCGTGAACATGAAATATGTTCAACAGATTTCCCCATTCTGCTTTGCGAGAAAAAGTCCGAGTGAGCCACCTGCATTCAGTCAAAAAAAACAGTGTGAACACTCGTGCATCTTGGCGATCTCACTCGTTGCGGCGTATGAAATGTTTGAACATATTGATATGTATATATGTTATTATATGTTTAGATATATATACGTGATGTATATATAATGAGCTTTTATGTTTTACGTTTGTGTCTTTGGCGTATATGCGTACATGACTTACTCATATACGTTCACCTCGAAAGGTCAGGTGCAAACCCTTTTATGTTTAGGATTTTAATTTGAAGAGATCCATGTGTGACTATAAGATATCCGTAGTGGTACACAGCCAGGGTCTGAGCCATCCCTATCATCCCCGCCATGCCAAGCGGAGAAACAATATAAGTATGCTGAATAGCCCTCGTTAGCGCCACTGTCGCTCTCCCATAGCAATCCTCTCTGTCATCCAAGGGAGGCCCCTCGTCGCCCACCACTTAGGAAGCCACCCCCTGTTTGTACAATTACTGCTCTATGGGCAGTTGCACCTGCTGCAGAGGAGGTGGTAGTGATTCGTAGCCTACCGTGCCATGCTGTTTGAAAACCGTGCTGAAGGAGCTGGTTGTGCACAGCTGTGCGGTTGCATAACACCAGCAACTGAGCTGTGGCTCCTTGGCTGAGGTCTCGATGACGATTTTGCAAGTAGGTCAAGAAGGCAACCACGTCCTCGACAGAAGGTTGTCTCGTAGATATAGGTCATGCAAGCCTGGTAAGGTTACTGTCGCCGGTGTCAGGAAACGGCGAAGAATACGGACCAACGCGTCATTGAGCTTTGTTTTGCGCTCGCTGGCCATTCGCCTGACAGGTATATTAGGCTGAAGGATTCCCATGATCAGCGGGAGTCGCGATGGATTCGCTTGTGCAAAGACCAGCAGTTCACGGCGACTGCGAGTGTCACCCAGGAAGGCGAGTTCTTCTAAGACAATGGGAAAAGTCGCGTTAAGCTCAATCGGCTTCGGCCAGTCAGTTCCTGGATCGAAATACGTGGCATGCCGAAGATACTGTAAAAGGAGCCGGCCACAAAATGCCTGAGCCACAGGTTGAGATACTACAACCAGTTCTAGTGACTTCGGGGCAATTCGCCGGTAGGCTTGATAATCAGCAGATTTGCTCGCATTGCGTGACTTTCTCATGGACCAGGAATATGACGCATCGTCGCTGACCCTCTGGCAGTTGCAGACACCCAAACAGCGCTCGTCCGGCCATGACGTTGCATTCCATGCTTATAGATTACTAGCTGCACATAAGTCCCACGGAGAGGACTCTGAGTGGCTCCTGAGCACCGTTAGTTTCTTTGTCGTTTTTCCCGAATACGTAGCAAGGGTTCCCGTTTCACTCTGGGGGTCTGGGGGTTGAGGGTGTGTTCGCTCGACGTTGCGTTCACGGTCGCAACCGTTCGCAACCGTCCGCAACCGTCTGCAACCGTCCGCAACCGTTCGCGCGATCCCCGTATGGCCGTGGCCCAGCATTTTCAGCAGCTAAGGATCATTTCACGCGGCAGGCGCAGCACTTAAAGCACGTCATGTGATCAAAAAGTGGCGCGGCTGTGGAAAACCTGCAATCCTAACGTCCTTCGCACGTTTGAAAAAATTGAATAATATTGTCTTTGCGCGAGGAGGACGTTATGATTGAGTGTGCGCGTGTGGCGCGGTGACAATTTTGGATCGTAACGTGGTCTGGTGCGAATTTTGTGAGTAAAGTGGGCTGCGCTCCCTACAAGGGGATTTGCACGTCGCAGGTGTGATCTGGAAGGGTCGTAGGTGGAGGTTTGAGGATCGTAGGTCGGCTTGCAGGGTTGCAGGTGGGGTGTACCTACACACCGTAGTGGTGGTACACCTTACACTGGTGTGGTTCACCTTAAACACCGTGGTGGTGGTACAGCTTAAACACTAGTACAACACCAGAGGTGTGGTACACGTTAAACCCCGGTGTTGGTTCACCTTAAACACCAATGATGCCGGAGGTCACCGCGAGGTCATCTCCAAGTCGGCTCGAGGTGGTCACCTTGACGTCGCCTCGAGGTGGTCACCTTGAGGTCGGCTTCCGGTGACGTTGCGGTGGGGCTTGCAGTTGCCCTGTCAGCCTTGGGGTCAGGTTGGCGGTGTGGTGCGGTGGCCGAATTTTGTGCTCGCAGTGGGCTGGCGTTGTGATGCGGTGGCCATTTTGGATCGTTACGTGGTCCTTCGCTGCGGCGTTGTGCCAGTTTTTGCGAGCAAAGTGTGCCGCCCGCGGTTGTGGAGTGTTTGCGACTAATCACAGACAGTTTTTCCCGAGAGCGTCTGAGCGCAGGGTTCTTCCAATAGTGGGGGTCTGTAAAACATCTTCTCATCTTCACATCTTCTCATCTTCACATCCTCTCATCTTCACATCCTCTCATCTTCACATCCTCTCATCTTCACATCCTCTCATCTTCACATCTTCTCATCTTCACATCCTCTCATCTTCACATCTTCTCATCTTCACATCTTCTCATCTTCACATCTTCTCATCTTCGCATCTTCACATCTTCTCATCTTCACATCTTCTCATCTTCACATCTTCTCACATCTTCTCATCTTCTCACATCTTCTCACCTTCACATCTTCTCACATCTTCTCACATCTTCTCACATCTTCTCACATCTTCTCACATCTTCTCACATCTTCTCACATCTTCTCATCTCACACCTTCTCCTCTTGCCCTCTTGCCCTCTCATCTTCACATCTTCTCACATCTTCTCACATCTTCTCACATCTTCTCACATCTTCTCACATCTTCTCACATCTTCTCACATCTTCTCACATCTTCTCACATCTTCTCACATCTTCTCACATCTTCTCACATCTTCTCACATCTTCTCACATCTTCTCACATCTTCTCAGATCTTCTCACATCTTCTCACATCTTCTCACATCTTCTCACATCTTCTCACATCTTCTCACATCTTCTCAGATCTTCTCAGATCTTCTCACATCTTCTCACATCTTCCCACATCTTCTCACATCTTCTCACATCTTCTCACATCTTCTCACATCTTCTCACATCTTCTCACATCTTCTCAGATCTTCTCACATCTTCTCACATCTTCTCATCTTCTCACATCTTCTCACATCTTCTCACATCTTCTCACATCTTCTCACATCTTCTCACATCTTCTCACATCTTCTCAGATCTTCTCACATCTTCTCACATCTTCTCACATCTTCTCACATCTTCTCACATCTTCTCACATCTTCTCACATCTTCTTACATCTTCTCACATCTTCTCACATCTTTACATCTTCTCATCTCACACCTTCTCCTCTTGCCCTCTTGCCCTCTTGCCCTCTCCTTCTTTTCTATTTCTTTCTTGAAGGCGGGAACAGGGGCAGTGGCAACGAGACGGCACGAAACGCAACCCTTTTGCACGAAATGAGGGTCGATCGGCAAAAACTAGGTAAAATTGCGATTTCAACTTGTCCGGCGCAACCCTTTCGCACAAAATGAGATTCGATCGCCAAAAACTGAGGTAAAATTGCGATTTCAAGTCGTCCGGCGCAACCCTTTCGCACGAAATGAGGTTCGATCGTCAAAAACTGAGGTAAAATTGCGATTTCAACTTGTCCGGCGCAACCCTTTTGCTCCAGTGTTCTTGGTGCCGCCGCTCCCCGCAATGGGGAGGGGCACAAGACACCTGGTCACCAATGTCAAATTCCTCCTGCTCGTGCTGACGCCCTCTGGTACTTGCTCTTTCTCAAAACTTACACACGTGAACAAGTACTCGTGAGTGGACTCTGAGTGTAGATATTTGGTATCCATACCAGAGCAGAGCAAGCACATGTGATTGGGTACAGATAGGCCCATTTGGCCCTAGCAGAGTTTGTTGGTCACTGAGACCGATATGTTTGTGCAGAGGAGATCATTTCATGCAGAATGACATGGTCGAAGCTGGAATCCGCGTTTTCTTTGCACCAAAGGCCAATTAGAGGCATTTGGTTGAACAGCACAGAAGATGTCATATAGGATGACATCGTTTTCGAGCTG